TCTCTCTCTCTCTCTCTCTCTCTCTCTCTCTCACACACACACACACACACACACACACACCTTGTTCAATTTGACCTGTCAGGTACACCATGAAAGACTGCTACCGGCACTGCGTCTCTCCAGGTTCATCTCTACAGACCTAGAAGAATCAGTGGCCTTAAACCCTCTCTCCTTCCTCTGCCCTCCAGAACCGGTTCTTTCCACAAGCCTGTTCCAAAATAGTTTTTAACTAGTATATATGCGAACGTGTATGCCTATGAAGATAAGCAGGCGCACTTTTATTAATATGTCACATTTAAAACTACCTGAAAGTAAAATTCACGCTATCAGGATTCTGTGTAGGAGGTTATTGTATTTTTGCAGATCCAGGGTGGCTCGTGGCGTGGGGGACCTTCACTCCAAAAATCAGGAGATGTTGTCCTTCTGCCTTAGCGACAAGCGGTCTATGGTGATGGCGCTCCACTACCCCAAGAAGCTCCAGAAACTGTGCGAGGTTGGGACCTGGATGGGGACGCACCTACCCGCGTTCACTTGTGTGCTTAATTTCCTTAAAGAAGACAATCAGCCTTACTTTATAAATTCGTAACAAAACTGTATTACGTTCTGTGCCAAAATTCGTAGTATGGAATGCTACCTTTTGTACTTCTCTCTTTTTTTATATATATAATCAAGCTACAGGGATTTTTTTAAAAAAAAATCTTTTGATGCAGTGGTGTAGCCTGGATAAGAACCGACGCTTCACCCTTGGAAACGCACTTTGGAAAAACAGCAAGGAAAGCGCTAACATATAGACTCTTGTGAACTTGGAGTGTCTTTTAACCACTTAGCCTGTTCCGATACAAAGCATTCCTCATTTATGCAGAATTAAATGTTATTTTACGGAATGCTCTGGTCCATGGGGTCACGAAGAGTCGGGCACGACTTAACGACTAAACAAGAAATGTCATTAATTTACCTGAATTCCGTGTGACTATGTTTAAGCCGCCTAGAGTGGTCTTATAGGCCAGATGGGCGGGGTATAAATCAAATAAATAAATAAATAAAATAAGCTTGAAAATATACTTTGATATAAATCTGAAAGAAAAATAATAAATGAAACCACGCAAATCTACCAGGATTTGTAGATTAGTTGGTAACTTTTTTCCCCAGTATCAGAAAAGGAGACTAAATGAAAAATATAACTTACCAATCTACAATTTACTGGTCATTTACTTTGCAGGGTGTATATAAGCACAAATTCAGAAATATGTTCATTATACTTCAGTTCATACTCTGTGTCACGTACAGAAATACCTAGAAGTAGAACAGAGCTGTTTTTTTGGGGGGGGGGGGATGTTATGTTGTGAATGTTGGCTTTGCTTCCTCTCCGATCACTTTAATACCTGGCCTTTTCTTTGTGCGTGTTTCCTACCATCAAGTCTCATCCGACTGGTAGCGACCCTAACAGAGCTTTCAAGATAATTGAGACATTTAAGGAATTTATACCAGTTCCTCCACCATCCTCAATGAGCCAATCAGAGATTGATCACCTGAGATCTAGTCCCTTATTCAGTCCAGCACACCACACTGGGTACCATTCTTTGACATAGTTTCAAGTTAAGATAGGATAGATTACACCTCAGCTGCTTCCCAACGCCAAAGTCGCTGAAGAAACCTCCAGTACAGTAATTCCAGCAGACAACTCAAATACATTGAGTAAAATCCAATAGTGAGTTACAACTAGAGCAGGCCCACTGATTCAGTGGCGATTTTATGCGCCCACCTCCCTGTAAAGTCTACTACATCTACTCCAGTTGATATTTATTACTGAATTTCAGCCATTGTTCTACACAGCACTGCTCAGATGAGAAGAGGTGGCACCCAGGGTATGGCAAAATATCTTCTTCTTCTGTAAACGTTGACGCCCATAAAGCTCATTCAAACGGAGGAGCGACCCATGCGTTCAAAATAAGACACATTTTCCCCTCTGCGTCTACGATTGCAGCCTTGTATTGCACATCCAACCTACAGGCCACAGGCTGCCGCCTTGCAATGTTAGATGCACTTTGCGGGCTCACTTTCCACACGATCTAAGTGTAGGCTATCTGTTCTAAGTAGGCTGTCTTAACAGAAGACTTCCCCTATATATTGTTTTAAATTCACAATTCCCTGCTCATTCCTCTCCCCATCGTTCCAATACATTTTCCAACAATGATCTACAAAGTAGCCATTTCTACAGGTGGTGCTTTGCTAAACCCTTATGAGAAGAAATATATTAAAACCAGCGACGATGGGGAGCATGTCTGGAAAATGCCTCGCTGTCACACTCCATCCATCCATCCATCCGTCCGTCCGTCCGTCCGTCCGTCCATCCGCGCGCGCACATACCTTGCTCCCCATTATCGGTTCCACACTCACCACAGTCAGGCGTCCGGGTCTGGTTGCAAAAACGTTCGCTGACGGCATTCAGTTCGTGCTGCTACTTGAACTTGATTTTAAGGAGCGCGTCGAGAGGACAGGGTTAGCGCAGCACTGCTGATGTCCCCAGAAGCCTCCCCGCGTCCCGCCACAGAGGATTCTCTGCAGCTGGGATCAGGCAGGTGGGCGATCCCGCTGCAGAAGAGACTCCAAAGCTCTCGCGCGCCGCAGATCCAGGAGTCAGCTCGGGTGCAAAAGGAAAGTGAGAGTTCAAGGACTGGCTTGCCAAGAGGCGTGCTTTCCTCGCCAAATGCCGTCCTGCCAGAGTTTATCAGCTGCTCAGTTTCTTGACTCTGTAGAAGTCTTGCCCTGCTTCCCTATATTATCAGTCCCAGTTTCAGGAAGCCCAGCCAACCGATTGGTGAGTTGTCAGGCCGTCGACATACTGATTGGCTGCGAGGAAATCAGAGTGATCCCGCCTCCTTAACTCTCTGCCCTTTTTGCTGCTCCCTCCCGCCCCACGAGTATGCATCTGTTTTCCTTTCTCCGCTTTGAGGGTCACCTTTTATTTACCAGCACCAGCAACAAAAAGGGATATGTGGGAAAGGCTCACATTATTTCACCCTGGGAAAAAGAAAGAAGCAAAAAGTTGCAAAAACAGTTCTGAATTATAGCTATAAACGGAGTGGTGAATAATCTTTGTGGAGTAAAGAAAGTGGGGGGAAGGGGCGGACGCCTTTTTAGTTTTCATAACTATAAATTCCCCAGGGAAAATCTAAATTGCCCTAGATCTGTTCTAACGTTATAAATACGTATATTAATAAAATTCAAGGAATGGGGAACCACTTCAAAATCTTTGTAGGCAAAGCAGATTTCCTTATTAAGGCGTTGACAATCATTTTAATTTTATAAATCAGCCGTCAGAACAGGGAATATTATCTTCTACGTTTGTGTCCAACTTTTCCATTCATTTTTTTAAAAATAGATTAAATTACAGTTAGATCCCAGTGAAATCAGCCGGACAAGTTATTCAATCATGACCTAAATCCCATTGATTTGAACTGTATTTATAGCCTAGGACATATTATGCCATAATAAATCTGTTAGTCCTTAAATTTCCAAAGCAGTCGTTATTTTGGCTGCAGTTTACAATGTAATCCTATACATGGTTACTGGGGAGTAAAAAGGGATTGGTCCCAGGAAAGCGCCAACAGTAATATACTCTTGATGTGTTCAGATACAATATATATTATGACGAAAATAAAACGAGATAGTAGCTTTCAATTTTCTTTTTACAGTACTTTGTTTTCGAAATTAGTTCAGAAAACAAAATAGGTTCAAGTTGTGTCAATTATGTACTGTATTCTCGAAGGCTTTCACGGCCAGGATCTGATGGTTGTTGTGGGTTTTTCGGGCTCTTTGGCTGTGTTCTGAAGGTTGTTCTTCCTAACGTTTCTCCAGTCTCTGTGGCCGGCATCTTCAGAGGACAGGAGGCAGAATTAATGACATTAATCATGTGTTAATTATATTTTTAAAAAATAATTTAGTTCCGTATAAGAAATAAGAGCCTGAAAGAAAACGGTCTTGTTTATTCTGACAACAAGGGATGATATTTACTTGGTTTTATGGAAATAAAGAGTTGCGATGAAATCAACCTTACCAACAGTTTCTGTAGACATTATGTATACAACAGTTTTATAACAAAATATAATAATGTTTTCTATCAGCAAAATGATGGCCTATATTCAGAGACAGCTTTATACACAAAACACATAACTTGTTTATACTA